GCTGGGGGGGGAGTTTTCTGTTCTGGGAGTGGGCAAAAAAAAAAAATGCTCTTTTCTTCTTTCCCGTTATAAACATGGTCCGTTATAAACATGGAAAGGAGAAGGGGGTCTGGGGGCGATGCGACCCGTCCTCGTTTGACTAGGACAGGAAGCAAAGAGAAGGATGGAGAGCCCCGAGTTCCAGACAGGGTTGTCTGGGCTTCCGTGTTAACCCCGGGGGTAGTCTGACTAAAGTCTTCCTCGCAGCCCTCCTTCCTTCTCGTCACTTGGCTTTTAAGAGATGTATAATAATGGGTCGAAAAGCCACCTTCTCTCTTCTCCCCGCCGCCGCCGCCGCCTTTACTTGGGGGGGGGGGGCATTTCAGACAAGCTATGGCCGCCTCTGTAGCCCACTCAGCAAGGGAGGCGGCTGGGGGCGATCCGCCGGGCTTCTTTCCCCGTCGACCCGCTTCAAAATGTGCCGCCAAGGTCCGTTTCTGAGCTGGGTGTTCGCCCGGATTGAAATGCCTTTGTTTAGAAGTCGGGAGGGGGAGGTAAAAGGTTGAGTCCGTTTTCCTACTGAGCTGTTCGCAAACCCCCTGCCTTCTTCCGACGGTCTTCTGCTTCTCAAACTTTTCCTTCCGTCTCCCCCCCCTCCCCCCGGGTGTCCTTCTAGGTCCGGATCGGAAGCGAGGGCGTCAGACCTACACCCGTTACCAGACCCTGGAGCTGGAGAAGGAGTTCCACTTCAACCGCTACCTGACCCGCCGGCGGAGGATAGAGATCGCCCATGCCCTGTGCCTGACCGAGAGGCAGATCAAAATCTGGTTTCAGAACAGACGCATGAAATGGAAGAAGGAGCATAAAGAGGAGAGCGCCGGGGCTGGGGCTGGCGCCGCCCCTGCCAACGACGGGACCTCCGCCACAGCCTCGGTGGAGAAAGTGGAGGAAGAGGAGGAAGACGACGAAGAGTAGCCGCCGGGCTTCTTCGTGGGTGGATTCTGTCTGCACGTGGCAAACAAACAAACAAAATTATAATAATAGTAATAAAGGAAGACCCTTGTAATGGCCACTCATAGTTCAAACGTCTTCTACTGGTCTTCCACATCCCCAGAATGCCCTAGATTACGTCCTGTGTAAACTAGGAGTAAACTACTCACTACGCAACCTGGACCACTTTGGCCTGGGTTGGCCAGGTCTCTATTTAAAGTGTTGCATTTTTAAAACAGATGATACTGGTATTGCTGACTGAAAGAAAAAAAATTGGTTACTTGCACATGTGGGGAGGAATCCCTCAAACCCCCCCCCCCCACAAAAGTTAAGGCTTCCGAATAAAACTACCTGACTGTATTGGTCCCAATCAGTCCCTATGGGGCGGGAGTGCATTAGGATCAGTTCTTGCAAACTACCTAATTATTGACGGAAGGCCGATGTCCTTCCATTTCACTGTGGGGTGGGAGTTTTTGTTTGTGGTTAACAAAACCTGGGGGGGGGGGGATCCTTGAAAAAACAGTGACTGAACCACTAGACTCAACAGCAGTTATTTGTACTACCTATTTTCAAAACTACCTATTAACTAGCTCTGCCTACATATCTTCTGAGCCCTACTGTATTTTATTAATAAGGACAGGAAAGAGGTTCATGCTGGGGTTACTCGCCTGCAGGACCTGAAAGGCAGAGAAGGAGGAATGGAAAGGGGGGGGGGGAGGGAAAGAAATGCGGGGCCTCCTAGCTCTAATAGAGAATTTGGGGCCGAGTATTACTGAGTATAATTTAAAAATAATATATTTATTCCAAGTCTGTTATTAAGTGATATGCTGCAACATAAAACTTTCTGCTCGTGTCTTCTCCAGTCTGAATTTTAAGAAACTTCTCGAAAAGGTTGTATAAAGCGGTTTCATCTCCGGTATTTCGTTTTGTATTCCGCTCTGGGCCGCGATTAGATGTTTGGGTTTAAATCATTCATTCTGCTTGATACAGTTGGGGGGGGGGACCCCTCTTGTTAATCTAGGCAGCTGCCATATACCTGATTCCCCGCCACCTTTCCCCGAGTCCTCCTGACGACCAGAATGGAATACGCATGAAACTGCGCGAACAATTAGCACATCTTGTATGTTGGGGGGCACCTTCGGCCATCTCCGTTGTCTTGGGCTTCACATCACGCCCTAAGCTGGGAAACCTGTGCTGAATTGGGGTAACTTTGTAGCATGGTGCCATGTTAACGAGCTCTGTACAAATAAATTGCGCCTGGAAAAGTTTTGGCTAAACTTTATTCATAAATTGTATGTTACAATGTGCTTTTCGATGTGTTCATTGTGAACATTGAGGTATTCTGTGTTTTAAAAGAATAAATGGGGGGGGAGTTGAATGTGCGTGAATTCTCTTTGGAAGTGCTTTCGTGTATTCAGTGTGTTTTATGTTACACAGAAATAAAAATGCTTGTTGACAATAGGTGGTCTTTCTTTGTTGGGTGTGCGAATACACACGTGTACAGTACACAAACACACACATGTCAGACGGGGTGGGTGGGGAAGGTTTCTTAGCAATGCCCGAAAACATTCCATACCCCTACCCTACTACCTGGAAGTCAGCTCCGCTGTAATTGTAAAAGTTACTTCCGTGTAATATGCCCGGGATCAGAGCCGAAGCAGTAGTCGAACTGGCATGGGGGGGGGGGATAGAAAAGAGAAGTATTCATTAAAAACCTTTGTTCACCTGAATGGCCGACTCGCAAGCACTCCTTATCCCAAACCTACTCCGAAGTCCATAGCATTCAGTTCGGTGATAATCGCTTCTAAGCAAATAGGCATAAGGTTCAGGTCTCCCCCGTTTAGCCTTCGAAATATAAGCAGGCTTTCGATTTGACGGGTTAAGAGCCATTTTCTGTGGCATAAACGGGAATCCTCATCTGGGCCCGTAGCAATGCGAAATTCCTGGGATAAAGGGCATGAATACGGCGGGTTTAAAAAGCCCCGTGCGGGATGCACGGGAGTCCTCACCCCAGGAAATTGTGTGCGTGCGTGTATATAAACACACACATATACACACATATGTATTTGTAAGGCATATACCCAAAAAAAAGAGCTCATATTGCCAAATATTTTCCATACAAGCAATTCTTTTTTTCTTTTAATGAGCCAGATCGGGTTTTTTGTTGTTGTTTTTTAAATAGCACAATTAACAGTGAAATTGTGAAGAAAAATGCGTAAAAGTGCTAGGCGAAGAGGAGCCGCGAAGGCAGCAGGCACTGCAGGCTCCGGTATTCGCAAAGCCTTCGGCGCAATTTTCCTAATAATGATGACAAGGGAATCCAAACGGTGGGTCCTTTAAAAATCTAGGTCTGCCTCTCTGGTAAAATGGCGCCTCTCTAAGTCCTGCCTCTTTCTTAGTGATGAGGAAAAGGGCCATAAATCCGTTGTTGTTTATGAAAATTTACAACTTTGCAATACAACTTTATGAGTGGTTCGGTTCCTCCATTGGTCGCCGACGGTCATGTGGATGGTAACCGTGAACATGAACTTTTTTATAATTTCCCTGGCGAGAATAGAGCTGCATTCTTTTGCTCAGCTCAGTCCTGCTTCGGATCTCTCCGGCTTCTCGGTCCCCCCGCCCCACCCCCGGTGCTCGTGAGCCCTTCGCGAGTCAATGGGGAGCCGGGCAGCATGGAGGTTCGGCTCCAACAGCCGCCCAGAACGCGGGTCTTGGATGGCAATTTCCAGCTCCTCCGCCGGAAGGTGTGGCAGATTGGATTCAAAGCACTGGAGTGGCAGATTTTCGGCTCGCAGCCTGGCTAATTTCCTGCTTCTTCTGGCACCAAAAGGAGGGCGATTCGTCTCCGGCGCAGCCAAAACGACAGCTGTCAAAGTCGAAGGGGCTCCTGCCAGCCAGAACCTAAAAGGTGAGAAAGGCAGAGAAATGAGCTAGCAAACCCGGTCCACCTTATGCAGCCTGCCGTACTGACCTCTCGTTGGGTGTATTTATTATGGGTCTGTATTAGAGGCAGAATGTTTGCCAAGCGAGGAGTAAATGGCCCCGGCGGAAGGCTCCGTCTGCGGGAGTCGGGCAGAGCGCAGAAAGGGAACGGGTCTCCACACCGTCTCGGTGTCGTTTTAACAATGTCGATCGGGCATTTTGTTTACTAATAATAGGTTAGATGGTGGGTTTGAGAAAGCCATCGAATTAAGCGCTACATTCACAGAGTCACAGAACGCTCCCTTCAACGACTAACAAACCTGGTTTTCCACCCTCTTCTCGCACTGAATTTGTGTTTGCTGTTTTTAAGGCGTGCTTTTTAAAAAAGGTGATTATATCATATTATCAACGTCAGTAAAATCTCGACAGCCGCCTCATTTTAGGTGGAGATCAATTCCACTAACACACGAGAATCTATATACAGTTGGATTGTTTTATTTTTAGATCAGTAACGATGCAAAATGTTGATCATGTCTCGCATACAGTTTGGAACCTGGATAGTATTATGGACTTTTTCAAAGTCTGGAAATGCGGTTTATTTGCTAATATTATTGAAGGCTGAAATACAATAGAGGACCATATTCCGGATCCTCACAATGCCGCTTTTTTGGGGGGGCGGGGGAGAATGCAAGGCAAATGAAAGAAGGGGATATTCTCTTTAAAACTCTGGAATGATGTGTTAATAGAGCTGGACGTAAGATTTTATGACGATTCATAAGGTATGGTTCGCCCATTTTGTATTGCTGTTTAACTCCTTTTCGAGGCGGGAACTATTTCTGATTATGCGGTCTTAAAATATTCGTGACTGTTGTTAAGAATGAGCATCGAGTGTCTTTGATGCTCAAAACGAACGGTTTCTTCTGTTTTTCTCCGGGTTGGCAAAAATTACGTGCGTATTGCATTGCAGTATCTCCTTGACTGCAACTGCAGTGAATGTCAGATTATTTATGGCCGAGAGACTTGTACTCAGTGCTGCCACGATGTGGCCGAAGTGGGTACTAGGTGGGGAAGAGGGCCAAAGGCAAGCGCCTGTTTAAAAAAAAAACCAAAAAACCCTGGCGGATGGTTTATCCTCGGCAACTCCCGTTTGTTTTGTTTTTAATCGGTTTTCAGTGTCTCATCTGACCGTATCTACTTAACGGGTATTTCCCCACAGGTGATTTAAAAGTTATATGTGTAGGTGACCCTTGAATTATGTTATTGAACTGTATGTTTGGCACAGCCAACGCGGAGGGTGACTAACACGCGCGTTCAACCTAAACAATGGCTGGGATTGTGAGATCTGTTTGGATTAGCGGCTATTAACTAAAAGTTGCTTTCTGTTACATCTCGGAACATGAGACGGATTTGTAAGTGGATTTGTACCTTAGAGGAAATGGGGCTTTTAAGCTTAAGAGGGTAACTGCCCCCCTCTTCTCCCCGCGCACCTGTATTCTAACTTTTGTTTGATTGATGGCTTCGGTGGAATGTAAGGGGGGGGGGACCCCTCCTGGTGTTAAAGTGGTAGTGACCTCTGTTTAATAAAGAAATAAATAAACGCACTCTGCGATTTAAAGAATTTGGGGTTTAAAAAAAAACAAAATGCTTTGTTTCGAGTGGGTCTGTTTGTTGGGGTCTGTTCACCTTCTTCCACTCAGCAGTGCGCCCCGGCAGACGTCGCCTGTGTTCATCTGAGAAGATCCCGTCTCTGGCAGCGCTGCTGTTGAGCAGATGTGGGTCTCGGGGGCTCTGCTGGGGGGGCGAGGTTGACTCATAACAGACGTGGATGTTATTCCTTCACTGGAATGAAACCAAGATATTGGGGAGGGGGATATTCATTCGTTAGATAACCTGCTTTCATCTCCCTTGCCTGCCGCTCTTTTCCTTCGCAGAGATGTTTTCTTTGATTATTCTGATCAATTTCGCCACTGACTGATTCAAAGGAAATCCAAGGAGGTCCTCCCTTGATTTAGCCGTCGGTTTCCTATCCCCTCTATGTTTACAAGCCCCTAATTCAGGCTGTGCGCCGGGGGAGGGATCTTTCGCGCTCAGAAGAAGAAATGAGAAACTAGCTGTGCTAAAACTTTTCCTAAAAGTAGAGACAAGGAGGCGGCGGCGCTGGAGTTGGACGGTGGGGATCCTTTTCCTCCCCTTGTCCGTCCTTTCTCCGCCCGATCCCTATGCTGACTTCACCAAAAGCAGTTATTTTGGTAGTGCTGGCGTTCTAAAAAAATAAAATAAAACTTGGAAGGCAATTTATTTTTACTTTCAGTTGCGTTTGCTTTCCTGTTTCTAAATCGATGCATGCTTTTTTCCCCTGCCTTGCCAATTGCACTTATGGGTTACGTTTTAGTTGTCGCTTGTTGTTTAGAATGGGGGAAAGTCCTTTGAAAAAGCCATTATTGGAGGCAATCGAGAGCTCTCTGTGAAACCCCGGTTGCGAGCACAAAACAATGCACATTGTTTTGACTTACTGCTGTTTTATAGATACCGTAATCGGACTCCGGAAATGAAACAATCCAATCGAAGCCTCTGCAGCAACAAACCCCCGCGGGTTCCAAAGCCAATTGAGGGCCGGTTATAGCAGAGTCCATTCAAACCGCCGGGTCGGTGGAAAACAGAAAGTTTGGGCAAGTGTGAAAACCACGTCAATTGGCACCCAGAGGAAAAGGGTTGGCGGGGATTTGCGTGGAGGCCTGCGGCCGAAGGCAAAAAAGGGACTGCCTCTCCCGCTAAATCTCCGCTCGCCCTGCAGGCCCGAAGGGAAGGTTTCGGTTACGTGAGCCTGAAATCGCTCGCCACCGTGGAGACGGGGAGACGCCGCGTCAGAGGCGGGCGAGTCAAAAAACGGAAAGCAACCTGGCTTAATGAAATGCTCAGAAGCCACAGCCGAAGGAAGTCCTTTTCGGAGGGCCTCCTGTGGACCGAGGCTTTGGGCAGGGGGGAGGCAGGAGAAGGAGCCCGTCCCCCTCGTGCTCTGTTTTCAGGCCGGATTCAGACGACAACAGCCAACTGATTTGAACGAGCAAACCGTGAACCTTCTCTCTCTTCGAAAGAGCGGGTCGCCGGGGCAGTTACTTTGGAAGAGGTTTTCTGCAAGGAGCCGGCAAAAGGAAGAGTCGCCACCGTAAAAGTACAAGCCCCCTTTTTGTGTCCGGTTCCGCTCCGACTACGCCACGAAATTGTCGATGCCGATTCAAAGGGAAACAGTTGGGGCCCGCGGGTCCGGGGCAGAGCCGGGAGGAGGGGCGGGAGTCGGAAGGGCACGTCGGGACGGGAGAGTCCCTTTCGGGCTGGGCGTCCAGGCGCGGCTTCTTGACTGTCAGATCATTCAGAACCGCTTTTTTTCTTTTTAAAAAAGCCCCAGGTATCACCCTTTCAGTCGACTGCAGGCCGAGGGGCTTTCATCTGGGGGAGGGGGACTTTCACCGGTGCCCCTGATCTCCCTTCAGTCGCTACACCCGACCTTTGCACAAGCCTCCCTCGTGTTCCAGCGCCCAGGCGCCCCCGAGGTCCTCAGCCCCCCCGTGTCACTTCCTTGGAGTCCTCGATTAACTGTCGCTGCCATGGCCCCCCCTCCAAGTCCCTGTGTCCTCATCCCCCCCCACGCAAGTCCTCTCCGGCTCCGACCCCCTCCCTTCCCTGGCACGTCGGAAGGTGGCGGCCTGCGCGTTG